GATGTGGCAAGAAAACTACATGTTTAATGCTGTACTGGTAACATTACATAAATCAAAGACCTGTGTTCTGTTATTTACAGCAACAGACAAGAATGTAAGAAAATCAAGACATACACAAAGTGTGCCATTTGAATACTTGTAAATATATCGGTTGAATTTTATATTTTCACTATGGCAATGATAAAAAGGTAATAATTATAAGAGCCTGTTAAAACTAGTTCCTGGTTTTCAGCAGTTGCCAAAAAACAAACAAAACAAAAACAAAACTCTTACATTGCATAAAACAACTCCCTGACATACCTTAAACTTTCAGAGGCATATTTAGCTTATTATTCAAGAGTCTTACTTTTACATTGTATATATTTTCTTTAATGACCCAACTATAAAATATAGGGAGTAGAGATTTGTTTGAGATGAAACAGAGCAAGAGAGAGGGGAAAGTGAGCGTAATAGATTTTACATGACCACCACAGAAAGGGTATCCACATATTTAAAATCTTCTAGTCAGTATGGGGAAAATAGTTAAAGCTCTGTGAAATCAGGTGGAATTTTTACAATCTTCAACAAGATGTTAACAATAATGAAAGTTAAAATTTGTCATTGACAGAATATTGTTCACATTTAAACATTTCTCTTAAGGGTAGAGTGAAAGAGATGAAAAAGATGGTAGCCCCCCCAAAAATAGTAGTGAATAATTTATTGAATCCCATATTAATGAAGAAAAGGTACTAGAAATTAAGCATGGCATCACTCCAAGTGCTTTGTTTATACTAACACTCCAAGCGATCTCTATTAAACATAGTTAGGCAAGGAAAAAAAGATAGCCTCTTCTTAGAGTTGCTTTTACATTTCTGAATTCTACACCATTGTATAAGAAACTAAAAATTTCTTTAAAATTTAATTTCTTGGTGAAACACTCCATGACTTAAATCTCAGTAACATCTTTAAAGATACATCACCCAAAGCAAGGATAGTTAAGGAAAGGGTAAACAGCTGGGACTATATCGAATTAAAGAGTTTCTGTATAGCAAAAGAGAAATTACACAAAAGAAAATTGACACCCCACTAATTGAGGAGAAAATTTTTGCACACAATACTAATGATAAAGGACTAATAAAGTTGCTGACAAAACTTAACAAAAATAAACAAACTCATGAAAAAATGGGCAGAAGAGCTAAAAATACACATCTCCAAAGAAGAAATGCAGACGGCCAACAGGCATATGAAATAATGTTCAACATCACTTGTAATAAGGGAAATGCAAATCAAAACCAAAATGAGATATTATCTCATACCTGTGAGAATGGCACATATTTAAAAAAAAAAAAACGCTAGCAATAACAAATGTTGGTGGGGATGTGGAGAAAAGGAACTCTCCTACACTGCTGGAGGACGTACAAACTGGTACAACCACTATGGAAAGCTGTGTGGAGGTTTCTCAGACTGCTAAAAATTGAGCTTCCATATGATCCAGCAATTCCACTCCTTAGGTATCTACCCAAAGGACACAAAATATTAATTCAAAAGGACACCTGCTCCCCTATGTTTCTTGCTGTTTATTCCCTACTTATAATAGAAAAGATGTGAAATCAACCCATATTCCCAAAAATAGATAACTGGATCAAGAAGACGTGGTATATATACACAAAGGAATATTACTCAGCAATCAAAAAAGATAAATTCATTGCCTTTTGCAGCACATAGATGGAACTGGAAGGGATCATGCTTAGTGAAATAAGCCAGAATGAAAAAGAAAAATACAAATGGTTTCACTCATAGCAGGAATGTAAAGGATCTGAAAAAATAATAAGCAATTGTAATAAAGTAGAAATGAAAATCAACAAACAACTGTAAACCAGAAATAGTCTACAGGGGTGGAGAAGGAATTAGGATCAAAACTGGGGCAGGAAGAGCACATGGGACTATGATGATGGCTCAAGAGTGAATTGTTATTGGGAAGTCTATGGGAATTACAACCAAGATAAAAAAATGTACAAAATGAAGAATGTTGTAATATATTTTTATAATTTTAATTTCTTCAAAGATTCACCAAGTTGTGTTGAATTTTCATGTTTAATATTTTGTTAACTGTCTTCAGATAATTTTAAATGTTTCTTCAAATAATAACACATTCCACAAATAATGCTGAAAAAAGTTAAAGAAGATTGTTAAAATTGAATGCATGCATTAGTGTCAAGGAAATATTGTTATACTTTGAATAACATGATCATTGACAATGCACAATGGCCTTCCAAGAAAAGAAAACTATCAACCAATATTCTCCAGGTATATTGATGTAGATCGCTTTAATACCACTTAAGCAAGTCAGAAGGTAATACAAAAGGCTGTATTTGACAAGCCCATGACTAACATTATATTCAATGATGAAAAAATAACTACAGTTATTCCTTTAACATCAGGTACATGACAAGAACGCCCACTCTTATCAATTTTATTCAGAATAGTTCTGACCAGAACAGTTAGCAGGAAAAGAAATACAAAGCATTTAAATAGGAAAAGTTGTAAAAATGTCAGTCTTGAAAGATGGCATCATAGTATATATAGAAAATCCTAGAGATATCACAATAACCTGTTAGACCTAATAAAATTTATTATAATTGGTATTAAAAAATAGTTACACAAAAATATATTGAATATCTGTATATTTCCAAACTGACTGAAAAAGAAATTTAGAAAGCACCCATTTAAAATAGCATCAAAAATGATAATTTTAACCAAGGAGGTAAAAAGATCTGCATATTGAAAAATGTAAGACATTGATGAAAGACATTAAAGGTGACACAAATAGAAAGATACTCTGTGCTATAGATTAGAAGAATTAATATTGTTAAAACATCCATGCTACCCAAAGAATTCAGTGCAATGCCTAACAAAGTCTAATGGCATTTTTCACATAAGTAAAGTAAACAATACTAAAATTTTCTTAGTGCAGAAAATTAACCTTTTGCACCACCAGGGAGGCCTTATGCCTCTTTTTTGGCTGTTATAGGTCCATACTTCCTAGATTTTTAATGCATCATTTTGGAACTTAGTGTTCGGAGTTAATGTTTTCATGAAGTTGTTCAATGAATAGTTGTATTTAGGAAGGTTAACTTTACGATAGATTATATTATAATTTGGAAATTAGAAGTTAATCACTAGGAAAATCTAAACATGTTTGAACATTAAGCACTAATAGCTCAAAACTTACTTATGCTATGTTTTGGAAAGTCGGTTTGTTGACATTAATTTTTCAGAGAATTCATTTGTAACAAATGGTTGGGAATAATGAGACATAAATTTTTAGCATATGCCGTTTTAAATTTTAAATAGTGTGTATTGCACATGCTCAAATTGAGGGCTAAATAAACAAAATGTCTACTTAAGCATGCTTGTTATTTAAAACAAAAAAATATCCTGGAATGCTTAATAAAAAGGATCTTGAGAGTTTGTAGTTTCCAGTGTCCTCTTACTACTGATGAGGCACAAAGGGCAAACTGACTTGTTTATATGTCCGTAACTTTAAAAAAAAATGGGGGTGGATAGACTATTTCACAAGGGACTTCTTGTGATACAGGAAGTACTTGGTAAATAATTCCCAAAATGGAAGAGTTATTTCATCATGGAAGGAGATAAACATTATTGTAAATTTATTAATTAGCATTTCATTTTCATCTATAACTGACCAAGGAAACGTTATAAGGAACATCTGTGCACAAAAATTTCTAGGAAATTTTATCGATACACTTGGGACAAGAAGCTTGGTGAGGAGCATATTTCTTTTGAAAATATAAACTACTTTTCCCCATTGCTCTAATTTGTTTTTGAGTACATTATTCATCAAAACAAATTCAAGCTACATTAAAGGTGTTTATGTTAACTTTTGAGAAGTTAATGTATTTTGAGGCATAAATCAGCTATGTGTTTTTTCTTTGCAATGTTCTTCTGTGTTCTTGGAATCAGTCAGTCTTTCAACAGTCATGTATTGAACATTTCTATATCAGAAACATGATAACCTATTAAAACACGAAGTCACAAACACATCTCTGTGCTAAATAACACGAGAGTTTATTCGCTGACAAGTTACAAATATACTATTATTGCTCCAAAATGGTCTTTGCCTTTAGAATTTGCATTACAAAATTTGACTCAGTAGTCATATTAGAGAAAACTCAAAATGATAATAAGAAATCACAAGTGTATTACTGCCTTCATCCATTTATTCAACAATTACTTATTGGGTCACTACTGATAGACCCAGACACTGAGGATTCAGTATCTTGCCTTTGTATCAGTTACATTCTTGAAAGTGATATTAATAATAACCAAGCAACATATTAAATAAGCAAATTATAAAGCATTTGAGAAGGGAATGCATGCACTTTTTTAAGGATAAGGAGTTCATATGTGGGAAGACTAGAAAAGAGGGTATAATTTTAAGTAATGTGGTTAAGAGAGGCCTCATTGTGAAGGTTACTTTTTAAAGAGATTTAAAGGCAGTTGCAATAAAAAGCTAGGGATTATAGCAATCGATGAATTTGAAATTTAATCTAGGTAGGCCTATTTTCTAACATATATTACTTTTCTACAGAGTTTACCAGTGATAGCAAAGTCAGTTTGTTTGTTTGCTTTTTTCCTTTCCTTTCTCTCATGTTTTGGCTTAGCTTCCTACTCAGTTTTCTCTTTTTGACTTAGTTAAAATAAATATTTCATAAGACTTTGGTCCATCAATGATAAGAACAGTACGTTTAGAATTTCTTGTGAGAGTCCAGAGCTACTTGCAGCATAACTTCATATTGTTCTTTAGTTTCTAAGAAACATCAAAATCCATGTATTTCCACTTATGAATGGACTCTTGGCCATGTCAGGGTAGGCAACAAGTCAGCTGATTTTCCCTTTGTGTCTTTGAATACTAGATTCAGATGAGATCATGGTTTATTTTCTTAGTACCCACGATCAATTTTAGCATGATGTAAAAATAAAATTTTTGTTTCTTACAGATTGTTTTTCTGGCATCTGCCTATGCAAGTCCTCAACTTACAGATGAGAGCTGTTCAGCCATGGCTGCTGTTACACATTACCTGTATCTTTGCCAGTTTAGCTGGATGCTCATTCAGGTTGGTACCTCATTTCCTCTCCCTACAACTCTCTATGACTTTGCAATGAATCTGCATAGAGTGATGTTGTATCTGATACTTATTATACTGAAAATGAACTAATTTCATGTATCCATCACTGCATCTCCATGAGATCAATGCAAATAAAACCCATATAAGTTGTACAACATAGGAAAATGCATAATGAATTTGAAGAAATATGAAATCTAGTAGGGTTGGAGATAAAGGAGTAGTAGGAGATTATGTCTGTGGAATGGGTCCTCAAGGGACAGTAAAGGACTTGAGTTTTTCTCTATAGTAAGTCAAAGATTTATTTTAAGCAAGGGAGAGACATGGTAAAAATTGGATTTTAGAAAGATCTCCGTTTTTAATAAATTTGGGACAAGTAAAAGTTGGCATAAAGACCAATTAATAGCTTTATTTATATTTGGGAAGAGAATAAGGTGGTATAAAGCAGGACGATAGCAGTAATGGGGAAGAAAAGTAGAGGCTTTGAGTTTTATTTTCAACCTATAGGATATAGAAGTATGAAGAATGCAAATGGTTGAACCAAATGTGTGTCCAGAGTTCCTGGAATGAGAGCATGGGTGGATGATGGGATGATCGTACCTTGAACTAAAATGCTGTCTTGGAGACTTGGGCAAAAATGATGAGTTTTTTTTTTTTTTTTTTTTTTTTGAGGGCAGAAGCATTAAGAGTGTGAAATACTCTAGAAAGCAGTGGGATCCATAGGGCTGGAACTCAGGAGACCTCTCTGTATTATACAATACAGTGGAACATTATTTTCTTGGAGTTAGAAAATGGAGGCATTTGTTTTGGAAATGATCACTTGCAGACACAGTGAAAAGTGAAACCTTGAGAGTCCTGAGAAACTAATAAATGTTGGGGAAAGAATTGAACTCTTTTTTCTAATTAAAATCCCAAATTTTCTCTTAACCTATGATTTACTTATTTGGTTGGAAAAGCCCCAGCTTTTAGGTTAGAACCATTTAGTGGTTCTTTTAGTAAAAACCACTTCAGCAGTATTAATATCACTAATTAAATGACTCACCTATAATTCTGCCCTTGATTATGTTTTCTGAATAATGGTATTGTCAAGTTTTCCGTGTGATAGAGTTTCATATGTGTTTCTAAGTATACATGGGAGCTATTTTATAGGTGTATGTAGTTATATTCTCTTTTCTTGTTGAGTTAAAAGGTTGTAGGATTTCCACTGTGTACTTAACATTGAAAGAGCGTAAAACGGGACTACCATAAGAATAATGGGTAGACTAAAGGAAGTAAGGGCTAATATCATAGTCATAGGGACTGACAGAGAAGAGAACTGAACTGTTCAGTGAACAGAACTAGTTGGAACAATCAGAGTCCTGATCAGGTTTCAATTCTGACTCTCTCACTATCTTTATAATCTTGATTAAGTTACTTACTCCCTCCAAGGTTTGTTTCTAGAGCTGAACATGGGGATAGTAATTCCTACCTCATAAAATTATTGTTTAATATCTGTGTGCAGCTCTACTTATGGGAAGTTTATGGTGTTCTCTCCCAAAAATTAAAACATAAAAATAAATTTATACTATATAACAAAAATTAAATTATCTGCTATAAGTAAACCATGGTTTGCTGGACCCTTTCATTGCAAAATTCCAAGTTAGACTTTCTCTGTAAATACTGTGTATGCTGTTATTATCTTCCTAGACTGAGGTCCCTTTTTCTGAAGGTCTTTGTCTATGTCCCTGACCTATTCAATTTTTGATGAATAACTTGTATGGAAGCACAGGAAACCAATTTATCCACTAAACAAATGATAGAGTTGAAAAGAGGTAAACAGTTAATGCCTACCTTAAGAGTTCAAGTAGAACCAAAGAGCAGAATTTACTGATAGGTTGAAATCTCGAGTAAAAGAAAGATAATTTGATGGGGACTAAAGCAGACAACTTGAAATTTTTATTTAAAATGGACTTTCTAGCAATCTGAATTGCTTAAAACATGCTAACTACAAAAACAACACAGAAATGGGTTGCATTAATAACAGTCTGAGAGAAGTTGCTTTGTTATATTGTAATCTACAATGGTCAGACATCCTTAGAACCCTGCAACCACTTTCATGAATCATGTTGCAGCAATAACATTGATCAGTGACAAATTTGAAAACAAATGCTCCTGTAAAAAACATTGAGGCAGCTGGCATAACTAACCTGGGAAGAATTTAGGAAGATGTGATGACTGTATATACTACTGAAGGATTGCTACAGGAAACAGTGGACTATATAACTCCATCTGGAAAAAAACAGTAATTAGGTCAAAAGTTAGGGAAGCCCATTTTAATACATGCTATGAAATTTCATAGCCAGCAAAATGCTGTTGATTTTGAAGAAGAAACAGGTCCTAAAAATAGAGGGCACCAAATTACTGAACATTACTGATTATTTAAACAGGGGGAAATGTCCGACTCTCAATTATATTTTAGATGGATTTCCTCCTTCAGGGAAATGTTACACAGGATGAAAGATTTCACCCAGCTTAACTGAGGATGGTCTATCCTATGTATCTTCTCAGTCTTAAGTAAATAGTTGTCGCTGATGCTCATGTTGTAAACTAATTAAATTTCAGTACGACTAACGGTTTAGGAAAATTATGCCAGCTTCTGTGAAGCTTCATACATTTCAGATACTACACCACATGTCTTTTCATGGTTTGTGGTGTGACCATACAGGAAAAGTTCAGCAACTTCTGAATTCTAGGTGGGTTACTTCAAATGGGTTACTTTGTGGGAAGGGATTGTCACTTCACCAGCCTGTGTTTTCACTTATAAAAAGATTGTTTGTGATAGTCTTTTAACTAATCCTTTTTCAAACATTATAAAAGATTATATTACTGTTAGTCCAACCCTGCTAATCAAATAGAGTTGAAAAGACTGAAAGATTATTAGCACTTTAATGATTCTATTTCATGTTTTAGCAATATCGAAGAGAATCTGGTATTAACTGTGTGTGCATAGCTGATAATAACAAAAAGTTAATCATTAATTTTTCATCTTTAGGCTGAGTATGTCAGAATTCTTACTTATTTTATTAGTAGTGTACCTTTAATCTTAAATTCCTTAAAATGTTTTCTTCAAGTTATTTACTTTTATATCAAATTTGAACATGTAATTCATTTACAGCATAGCTGAAAAAAAAGTTGTGTAATAAATAAGTTACATAACTTCTGAGCTAGGTTTTCTTATCTAAATAATCTGATTTGTAGTAACAGTTCCTCTCTTTGAGGACTGTAGAGAGATAAAATTAATTAATACATGGAAAGAATTTGGAATGGTGCCTGGTACAAACTGCACACCATACATATTTACTCATATTATTGGCTAAGCAAATACATATGGATAATGTTTCGTGGATTTTGAACTATGTTCAGTACTTTGCTTTTCCAGTATAATTTGCATCTTGTCTTTGCAAAAGAGAATTAGCTTGATATTGTAGAAAGAGAAGGATGATTGAGAGCCACTAACTAAGCAGCCCTAGTAATCTGGCAAGATTACTGACCTCTGTATGAACGCACATGTCTGCCGCACAGCAGACTCCACAGGGAAGTGGCCTCGACTCTGTTCCTTGGGCTTCCTGTTTCTTTGACAGAGAAGTCATAGAGCGCTTGATAGAAATATGCTAACAAATTATCTTGCTTGTATTTTTTTTAAAGGAAGCAACTCGCAAATTCTTGTTTTTGCCATGTAAATTGACATGCTACTGTTTGCTCTTCGTGTAAGGTTGCTGCATGAAATTAGTGAATCATTTTCCCATTTCCTTAAAAACAGTAGGGTTAGGTCTATTTTTAGAAAGATTGACAGTAAGAATTTAAACTCCTGTAATATTTCTACTTTATTTTCCTAGTTGGCATTGTTCTATTTTCAGTTCTTCTTTCTGTTTTGATTTGCTTTCATTTAGAAATAACATGCACTAATGGTACAAAACATAAATACCACAGAGAAAACTAAACTGAAAAATACATCTGTTTTTCCTTATTTCACACTCCCTCCATCCTATGTACCCTCAACCCCACTCCCAGAGGTAAACACTGTTAATGGTTTCCTGTGTAATCCTCTAAAAATATTCAGTGATCATGTAAGTATTTATAAATATATAAACAAACACACATGTGTATATTCTTGCATGTATATATATTTATGCGTGTGAATTTTTGTGTGTATATATATAAATTTACAAATACATGAATATTTTCTCTACAGTACAACTATTTGATTCCCTTTTAGTGAAAAAATGGTTATTTCCAGTTATACTGTTGTTGTAAACAAGGTTCTCTTGAACATCCTTGCATTGTATTTGTTTATGAAGTGTCTAGAGGATAAATTACTGCAACTTAGGCCTTTTCTTTAAATTTCTACCTGAAACACGCTACCAGATGGATTTCAAGACCATGAGTTAATCCATGCAGGAAACAAATCAAAATTATTTGAGATATGAATGTATAATATAGTTAAATAGAAACCTCATTTTTACCAATCTATGATCCTGTCTTGTCACCTACTTAAATTGTACAGGAATCTGCTTCAACTGTGCAGAAGCAGATATACATGTTATATATTCCTTGGCAGAAAGACATCTTAGTGCCAGAGTATATCAATGGAAAGGAAATGCTAAAATTAGCTATGTTTTTCCTTCATTACTGATTTAATTTGAGGGGACATCAAAGGAATTAAAGCCATCAGACTGATAATTACCAAGATAAAATTGGTATACTCAGGAAATACTCTAATTCTCAGAAAGCCTTGCAATTTATTTCATGCAAAAATGTTAAAGGATAACTGGGAGAAGGACACGTGTTAACATTTCTTTGACTGCCCTCAGGAATGAATGACCAAGAATGTATGATCATGATAAAATTAGTAACAGTCATTATCGTTGACTAAACTTGATGCTGTGAATCAGTCCAAGGTTTCTGATGACATATTTAATAATCAAATATGAAATGATAGCCTGGACACCAAC